ACTAAGCCATTGCCCCCGACCTCCTGATTCCTATCAGACTATTTTGCAAACAAAATTCCAGCAGCTCCTAGTCAAGCCTGTCCAACCACACGGTATCTGTCACTCGCTCACAGGAAATATGAGAGCAGTGAAAGCCAAGGAGTTCTCGCCGTGGCCATGAACCAAATGCATCCATAGGAATGACGAGCGAAGATTCCCCACCAAATTCCTGACACATCTGAGGTTGCTGACCAAGTTACAGACCACCTCTGAAGCAGAGGCATACAGACAGTTCCCAGCTGAAATATTTCTGCACAAGGCCAGAAGAGGAACCATAACATTCCTCTCTGGTCACCATCCAGAAGAAGAATATCCTATTTAGCTAAACAAGATGCACAATATCCTATTAAGATGGCTTTCTAAAATGAAAAGTAAATTAATAGGAAACAGAAGGTATTTTGATTTCAGTTTCTTCCGTACAGCATTAATGGTTCCCATATGTCCCCAATCAGCTGGCAATGGTGATTTTTAGATCCTTTATAAAAACCCAGGGACAAATAAGCAGTTGTCAATAAAATGTTCTATACACTGATGACCCTCAGACTTTTACCCATTCTTGCCTCAGTGATGATGCACACAGCAGTTTTATCTCCAGAGTAAATGGAATGGCACAAATCCTGAGGTGCAATCCAGAGTTACCGTGGCTGAGTCTGTACTGCAGGTAGCCCTGACAATTCCTGCTCTGGTCAGAGCTCTGGAGGAGCTGCAGGGCCACCTCCATATCCACCTGTGCCTACAGATCTGTTCTGGTCTGTCCTCTGCCCCAGCGTCATCCTGTCAAATGTCTGCTATCCAGAGGTCTCCAAAGCTGAAGTCCCTGGAAACCTACCACAGTGCTACGTTATTATTAACCTTGGAAAGTGTTTCCTTATGACCTGCGAACCCACAAGTATGTGAAAAAGATTATTCCACTTCCTTTCACAGCAACATTTTATTTGAAAAATGTCACATCAGTTTCACCTTCCTTTGGCAAATCAGCACCTTCAGAGGTCCTGTTTTCTACAGCTCTTATTTCTCCCTGAAAGAAAGACTTTGAGGTTCTGGAGCGTGTCCAGAGAAGAGAATGGAGCTGGGGAAGGGTCTGGAGCAGCAGGAGTGGCTGAGGGAGCTGGGGGGGCTCATCCTGGAGAAAAGGAGGCTCAGGGGGGACCTTCCAGCTCTGCAACTCCCCGACAGGAGGGGGGAGCCAGGTGGGGGTCGGGCTCTGCTCCCAGGGATTAAGGGACAGGAGGAGAGGAAACAGCCTCAAGCTGTGCCAGGAGATGTTAAAGGTTGGATATTGGGAAAATTTCTTCATGGAAAGGGCTGTCAGGCATTGGCACAGGCTGCTCAGGACATTGGTGGAGTCCCCATCCCTGGAGGGATTTAAAAGCCATGTGGATGTGGCACTTGGGGACATGGGTCAGTGATGCCCTTGGCAGTGTTGGGGCAACAGCTGGACTCCACAGTCTTGGAGGGCTTTTCCAACCTAAATGATTCTGTGATTCGAAACCCAGCTAAGATGTCACCAGCATGAGTAGGCTCAGAGGACACCTCCAGGCTGTTTTCCATTTCCATACCCACACAGAACAACAGCAGATGCCTCTTTCTATTTGCACCATCAAGTACTCATTACTACCTCCTCAGAATATTTTCCAACTAATTCTCCATCAAATTTTTAGCCTTTTGACCTCTTCCATGCTTCCTGTTGGTTGATGAGAACATTATGTGCAACAGAGTAAAAACAGTAAGTATTAAAGTCAATATATGTCATATCTATTTTATATATCCTTTGACAAGGCAAGCTGGCAACTGTTCTGGTGTCCAAAACTCATTACAGACCTCACATATTCTGTATTTTGGTCATATTTCTTCAATATGGAACATTACCATGCTGTCTGTTAGTTCTTCTGCATGAAATACAAATCTGGACTACAGTTTGGGATCAGAGAATCTCATACCAATTGCTGGGTGGAATTTGCTGGAGCAGAGGGATGTTAAAGTGACCCAGAGTGTAACACACACTTTCTGCTCAGGTGGATCTCTAGTGCCATCTGATGATGGGAATCACAGAATCCCAGAATGGCTGGGGTTGGAAGGGACCTTAAAGATCATCTCATTCCACTCTCTCCCACGGGCAGGGACACCTTCCCCTATCCCAGGTTGCTCCAAGCCCCGTCCAACCTGGACTTCAACACTTCCAGGGATCCAGGAGCAGCCACAGCTTCTCTGGGAAACCTGTGCCACGGCCTCACCACCCTCACAGGCAGCAATTCCTTCCCAATATCCCATCTAACCCTGCCCTCTGGCAGTGGGAAGCCATTCCCCCTTGGCCTGCCACTCCATGCCATTGCCAAAATTACACTCATGGTTCCACTGTAGCACAAGTGCAGATAATCCAAACCCACTCTGCTGTTTAATGACCAGAGAAGGTACCAAGAGAGGGCTGTAGCACAGCCTCTGTAGACATACTTGGGGGCTTCAGAATGGTAATTTCTCTTCCCCAGTCTTTCATTACCAAAAGCTGCAACAGCTTCCATTTCCACCTACAATTTACACAATTTGTGCCACAAAATTCCATTGATCACAACAGCCTGAAGCCCAACACAGCTCCCCAATACATGGGAAGTTGTTGGATCTATCCTCTTCTGAATAATCAGCCTTGGCCACACAAAAAGCCTGGCCAGCTCACTATTCTGTTTGAAAGCAGGCTGGGATGGATGCTTAAATGACAGCAGGAGAAGAATAGGGAGATCCTCCCCATGAATATATCCTCTCAGCCTCCAGCAACACACAGTTTAGAAATTTATTGAGCCAAATCTTAAAAGTTTTTCTTTTATGACTCCTTTTAGAGCACATCTACATTTCAGACATCCACAATGTCCCACACAGCCATGAGGATGGAGCTCCCAGCTCTACCACTGCAGAGAAAAGCCTGACAAGTTCTCAGAGACAGAAACTCATTTTTGCCTTTCTCAGATCCTGCCCACATGGTCCCAGGCAAGCTCCCTGCAGTGTGTACAGTAAAACTAACATGATTTGCCACTTTTTCAAGGGATAGCAAGACCAGTTAGAATGTTTTGGCTGTAGCACACAAGACAAAGATTGGTTCTGTACAGGATGGTAGTGCTGCCAATACTGTGTATGAAGTGCAGGACGTGACAGGGTAGACGAGGAGTCAGCTGAATCTCATCTTTTATTCACATCTACAAGCCTGACAGCTCTCACCACTTGCCAGCTGGTGACAGGTACATTTAAAAAAAAAAAAATTTAAAAAAATCTTTTTTTTTGACATCCTCGCTTCTCTAACAAAGGAGCTATTTTAAAATTCAACATGCTCCCTTGGAAAGCCTTAAATAGTTTCTGAATGTAACTGGCATTATGCTGTAAGCCAATATTAAATAGTTTTGGGGAGGAATCGTTTAAATTGTTGAGGAAAACCAACATTTAAGTGTTACAAAGGAAAGGACGTCCTGCTATCTGTGGGAGGCACGGGGCTGCAAGCAGAAGGATCTGGACACCACCAGTTGTCCTGAATTTGGATGAGTAACCAGAGAAGGTCCCTATCTCAGTCGGGAATGAAGACTACTGTTATCTTCACTGCACCATATCCTCTTTACACAAGCTGAAAACACCTTGTCCTAATCATCCAGGCAGTATCACAGTGGCTGTAGTCTGCAGCTGCTGAAAGTTTGGAGAGTTTTGAGCTTCAAGTTCTCCGCTCTCCAAGCTCTTGCATGACCAGAAAAATATAGAGAAGAGAAGAGAAGAGAAGAGAAAAGAAGAGAAGAGAAGAGAA